AGAGAGAAAGAGAGAGAGAGAGAGAGAAAATCAAAAAAAAAAAAAAAAATGTTGAATGATTTAATATATCCATCCACCAGCATTTGTTATGTTTTTTTTTGTTTTCTGGTTCATTTGATGCAAATTGAATTAATTTATCTAGCTACTATAGTTCGTTCGTTTGTTTGCTTGTCTATTTGTTTGCTTGTTTGTCCAAAAATATACATACATTTTCGGTATTCATTTAGATATACCGGAATTTCGTTCTCCCCCGTTCGTTTTTCATTTGCATTTTCATTTAATTCCATCATTCAAATCATTCATTCTCATTTGATCAATTCAATTCTGTTTTAATTTACATTTTTGAAACAAAGAATAATCATTTCTGGTATTCGAATGATGAAACAAAGCAAAAACAAAACAAAAAAAAGAGAGTAGAAAATTTGTTTTAAAAATTGACCAGAATAATGACGATCATCGTATAATAAAAGTGAAACAAACAAACAAACAAACAAAAAGTAAATATAAATAAAAATTCAAAAGGAAAAACGAAATTTATTACAAAGTTTAATTCTGGACATGTGTTTACATTTACATTTTTCAATATATGAAAAATATAACGTTTGTTTGGTGCAAAAATTATTCCTTCGGTGTTCATTAGTCACAAGTACAAGTTTTTCAAGTAAACAGAATATAGCAGTTGACAGAATCAATCAAAATTTTTTGCTTGTTTGTTTTGTTTGTTTTTCTGAAAACAAAAAACAATGGAATTATCTTTTAATAATCGATAATTTCTTCTTCTATTTTTTTTTTGTTTCAGTAAATATTCGGGTAAACAGAAATTATTTATTTAAAAAAAACAAAATTTCACATCCAACAAAAACAGAAAATGAACAGAGATTCGATGAATGCAATGAAACAATTATTTTCTGCTTTAATGAGCTAAATTATTCGGTGTAAAATCATATATGTTATGCTTGATAGAAATTGAATCATATTTTCTCGCACTGTACATCCGATATATATAGCATCTTGACATTTTCTTCTTCATTTTCATTTTTGTTTTCGTTTTCGGTTGACATTTGTTGTTAATTGTGGGCGTATATTTCTCAACTGTATTTTGTAACTGAAAAAAAAACGAAAAAAAAATTGGAATCAAAAATGATGATCATGAACATAATCATCATCAACTCAGCCAAAAAAAAAAACAAAAAACGAAAAACTAAATTGAAATGACAACAGATTGTTTTGAGAGCAAAACAAAAACAAAGCGAAAAGATTTTTTTTTATATTTGTCTTTTCTCTTTAGTTAGTAGTTTTTTTCCATCAAATTTCAAATTCAAATCACATATCAAATTAATTTTTGCTTCTGTTGTCGTTGTTTTAGTTGTTGTTTTAGTTTTCAATTTCAATATTATTGTCCACTGATTAATAAAAAAAAAAGAAAAAAGAATTTAAACGAAACAAGCGAAATTCCAAATCCCTAGTAAAGACAAAATCAGTAGAATGGAAACAAGAGCCAAGAGTTGAAGAAGGAAAAGACAATGTTAACCATGAAAATTTTCGAATAATAAAAATTATATTGAATGATTCTATGTGTGTGTGTGCATCATCATCATCGTTGTCTATTTTATTTTCTTGTTGGTTTCCTTTTTTTTGTTTTCTTATTTTCTTTTCCTTTCTGGATGGCAACCGAATGGAATTTACTTCAAGAAACATTTTGAACTGTATTTTACTGTTATTTTTTTATTTTTTCGTTTTTCTTTCTGCTTATTTCTTTTTATTTCATTTCATTTCATTTCGGTTCGTTGTTCCTTACAATTTGAACAAAAACAACAACGATAACAACATTTTTTTGTTTTTCTTCTTCAACATTTTTCTAATGTAATTTTTTTTTATCACTGCATCCATATTATTATTTTGCGTTCAGTGATCCTTAATGTTGTTTTCGGACATTTTTTTTCTTCTCGGTCGTATTTACTAACAAAATTACAATTACAAAATTACAAAAAACCAGTAAAAAATTTTGAATAATCATGAATTTTATTATAATTTATAATACAAATGATTAGTAATTTTTAAAAATTTAAAAATTTTTAAAATTTAAAAATAAAATATAATTTGTTATAATATTGATTATAATATATTTATAGATTTATATTTTTTTTTATTTGGTTTAAATACATTTTGTTTTTCATTCTTATGTTTTTAAAAATTCCTACAAGTCGTCGATGTCCAATGTCTATAATCTATAAATATCACATATATGCTTAATTTAATTGATAAATAACAAATTTTCTGTTTGTTTCTGTTTATAAATTATAAATATTTTTTACAAATCAGAGAAAAAATCAATTCTAGCTTATCGTTGATGTTGTTTTGGGCTGTTGTTGTTGTTGTTGTTGTGATTCAACAGAAACAGATGTCAAAGATGATATAACTGATGATGATGATGATTGCCGTTGATCGACAATATTATTACCGGATAGATAACCAGATGAATTTGTAGTTGCTGTTGTTGTTGTTGATTGTAACATTGATTTATCTTCACCCAATAACCAATATGTTGTCATTTTACCTTTACCCTACAATCAGAAAAGACAAAAAACAAAAACAAAAACAAAACCATTAATAAAAAGAATAATGTAATTTGTAAAAGTTGTAAAAAATTTCAATATTCATTGATGTCAAAATCATATTTTATGTAAAAAAATTCAATTCACATGAAAATTACTTTTTTTAACAAAGAAATATTGAAAAAAATATATAGCTGAAAAAAAGAAAGAAAGTTGAATGAATTTAAACAAGCAAGCAAATAGCCTTTAGGGAAATCTTATCCGATCAAACACACACACACACACCACTTTAATACAATAAGTAACATGAGAATTTCTTTTTTATTCTAAAGATGTCTATTTCAAAATGATGATGATGATGATGATGATAAAATTCGAACTATCAGCAAATTTCATTTAAATCGGATTTTCTTTCTTTCTTTGTGTGTTTGTATGGATTTCTTCTTCTTCTTCGTCTTCTTTTCCCTTTTTCTCATTTCATTATAAATTCAAAGAATTTTTTTTTTTACTATTTATTACTATCATCTTTCTTTTGTACACACACACACACACAACGAAACACAAAAACATGCAAACGCATCTGTTACCGCTGCTGCTGCTGCTGTCATGAGACATAGATAAATAATGAATTTATATATGAAAAGAAAAGAAAAGAAAAGAAACATAAATCGATAAAGGTGAATAATAGGTATTAAGTTTTTTTTTTGGAGGGGGAAAAAAAGAAAGGGAGAAACAAAAAAAAGTTTTATTCCGAGAAAAAACAACAACAGAATCTAAACATTGAAATTCTCTTGGAATTGAAAAAAAAGAATCAAGGGGGTTAAAGAAAATTCCATAAAGCTTTTAAAATTCTATAGCAAAAACAAAAAACAAACTATTGGATAATTCGTTAAAGTCAGTGAAACAAACCAAAAAACATTAAACATCTTAAAAAACATCTTTTTCTTTTTTGGGAAAGAAAGGTTAAACATTTGATAACATCCGTTTTAAACACCTTTTAAAAAACATGAGGATGATGAGGTAATCAAATAAATCATTGTTTAAATGAATGAATGTATGTTTTTTTCAAATCTTTAAGCTTGGATAATGAATTGATATTATATTACACTTAAAGCGTCAAAACGCCAAAGCCAAAACACCAAAAGAAGGAAGTAGATAAGATTCGAGTTTTTTTTCAAAAAAAAAACATTCTTGACTTTCATTCATCCATCCACCCACACTTACACACTCTTCTAATTCTATTCTTCTATTTTTAACATTCTTTTGAATGTGTGAAAAGAAAACTAGGTAAAACAAGAACATTCTTCGTAGGAAAAACAAAACAAAACAAAACAAAATGTGAGGGTTTTTTTTCCTTTTCTTCAGAGGCTTTAAATTTTTTTTTATATATTTTTGGAATTCAATGGAAAATGGATTTTTTCTGACACATACAGATTATTTTCTTTTTTTTTGTGAATGAATACAATGTGTACAACAAGAGTCAAACCAAACCAAACCAAACCAAAAAATAAAAAAATAAAAATAGGAATCGAATGAAACCAAAGAAATAAGCCAACGACCAAAACAAAACAAAAGAAACAAAACATTGAATGAAAACATTAAAGCGTTAATGTTAGGTAACAAAACACAAAACAAAACAAATGTCATTGTAAATGTCAAAATATTTTGATGTTTTCAAAACCAAAACAACAACAACAAAAAAAATTTGTTACAGAAAGAGAGAGAATGTAAAAATGATGGTTTGGTTTATGTCTATGTTTTCCTGAATGAAACACGAAAATGCTTTGTGTATAATTGATGGCCATTGTGTGGGTATGTCATGGTCATGGCATGGCACGACATGGAATTCTATATTTATTCTATGTTGACCACCATTTGAAATACTAATATTCATTATTTATGTTTGAAATTTCATTTTTTTTATCAAGAATATTCTATTATATTTACTATACGTTATTTTGTTTTCCTGATACACACACATTTACCAACTAATCAATCAACCTTATTAATTTAATTATTGAAATTTTTTTCTTACCTTAATATCAATACGACCACGAAGTTCTAATTTAAATGTTTTAAAACGTAATAAAACTTGTTGTGTTTGTTCGGATACATGTATTTTTAATGCTAAATTTATAATTAAATTGTTTTATAAAATTAATGTTTAGGTTGAAAATGAAATTTTAAATTAAAAAAAAAAAGAAAATTCGGTACATACGTAATCCAGTAGATTCCATACGTGAAGCAGTATTAACAGTATCACCAAATAAACAATAACGAGGCATTTTATGTCCAACAACACCAGCTGCACATGGACCAGTATGTATACCGATACGTAATTTAAGCTGTTCATCCGGTTTATGACGTATTGTAAATGATTTAACAGCATCCAATAATGCTAATGACATACGTGCAATTTCAGCTGCATGTCTATCACCGTTACGCATTGGTAATCCTGATACAACCATATATGAATCGCCTATCGTTTCAACCTTAAAATAAAAATAAAAATAATAAGAATATTCAATCAATATTCATTAATTATTATAATTAATTAGATAATGTTATTAAAAATTCATATTTATAATGGGAAAAAAAACATCCAAAATATTAATGTACAAACCTTATATACATTATAATTTTCAATTGTCGAATCAAAACAAGTATAAAGATCATTTAGAAAATCAATAACTTGCATTGGTGTTGATTCGGCTGATAAAGATGTAAAACCAACAATATCACTAAAATAAATGGTTACCATTTCATATGTTTGTGGTGTAACTGCCTGTCCTAAAATTAATTGTTTAGCAACCAATCTGGTTAGAAAAAAACAAAACAGAAAACATTTTAAAAATTGATTTCAACCAAAAAAAAAAGCTAAAAAAACAAAATTCTTTTTCAAAAAAAAAACAACTCACTTTGGCAGTAATTGATAAAGTAAATCTTCAGCTTTTGATTTTGCTTCCAAAAAATCAGCCGTCCTATCTTCAACTAATAATTCTAAATTATTTGCATATTGTTCAAGTCGATTTAATACTGTATCCAATAGTTGACTTTTATCACCCATTCTATCAATATGATTATTATTAAAACAAAAAAAGAATTTTTCAAAAAAAATGAATAACATACTCATGAAGTTTATGTATAGTTTCTTTTAATGATGTAAAATTTGGTCTATCACCAGATTCTTGTGGCCAACATTTTTGTATTAATTGTTCAAGGACGGATGTTGATGTTGATGATGATGAATTTGAATCATTGTTATTTGAAAATGATGTTATCGTTGCTGTTGTTGGATCATTTGATGTTAATGAATCGTTATGTTGTAATTTTGTTGATGATGCGGATAATGTTATCGGTTGAATTACATCATTTGATATGGTACCATATTTATCTAAATCTTTGTATTAAACAAAAGGGTTTTTTAATTAAATTTCAAAATCAAAAATCAAAAAATCATACTTTTTGATGAAAATGATGATGATTCTTGTGTAATGTTGTTCGATATTGCTGCTGTTGTTGTTGTTGTTGATGAAGTTGTTGTTGTTGTTGTTGTCGTTGTAGATATGTCATGATTAATAATTTCGGAAGTTTCTTCATCAATCAATTTTGATAGATGACCATTATGTTGTTGTTCAGCATTATTATTATTTGTTGTTGATGTTGTTGTTGTTGTTGTTGTTATAAATTTATTTTCAATTGCTGATGAAACTAATGTTGAACCTGATGATGATATTGTTGATAAATGTTGGTCACTATTATTTAAGCTCTGTGTTTGTTCATATGGTGCTAATTTTGTTATTAGATTACTAGTTACAGTTACAGGACCAGAACCACTAACTGATTGATCACAAGAATTTGTATTTGAAACAGGATCGATTTGATTAAGATTACGTTCAGAAACTGAACTTAACATTAATTTACGACAATTGGCACAATTAAATGTACAAATTCTAGGATGTGATGATCGTCGTCTACCGATTATTGCACCGGAACTAGGTCCAGCAATGCTAGTACCACTGGTACTACCATGTTGAAATGCAGGCGATATTGGTGAAAGCCATGCATTGGAATTCCAAAAACCAGAACCAGTCGATCCTGTTGATGAATGTAAATGTTCAACACCAATCGATGAACGACGATAATAATCAAATATAATTGATGTTGATGATGAATGAAATGGTAATGAAGGACGATGTTGATTATTTCCATAATATTGATCCCAAACTTGTCCAGTAGAACCTGCACGTGAACCGGATCTAGAACCAGAACCAGATCCACTACGTTCATTAGTAATATTTTGTTCATTTCCAGATGTTGATGAAAATGATTGACCAGGAGGTGAATCGGATGTAACTTTAAATTTAAATGGACATTGTTGATTAGTTGTATTATCACCATCAAAACTATCTTCACTTTCTAATTGATGATAACGAAAATTTGATGATTTTTCATCCGTATTAGATTCATCCATTATTTGATCAATAAATTTTTTATTTATTTTTGAAACCAATTTGACTTTATTTTTTTATTTTTTTCTTTTTTGGTTTATAGTCGGCCATTCATTGAAAACGATTGATAAAAAATTATTATGAACAACATGTAATCAAACGGAAAAGAATAATGGATAAAAATCTGATCCTTTGGGACCAGCAAATCCATTTTTGATGAATCATTTTCATTTTGTTTCATTTATTATTTGAGCAATTTTTGTTTTCTTTCTTCTTCCTCCACCATATATAATCAATTTATATTTGTTTCAATTTGTTGTTCATTCAACGTAAAATTATTCCAATGATTCTATCAGAGAAAAAAAAGAAGAAAAAACGAGGAAAAAAATTTGAAAATCAACCAAAAATTTGAAAATTGATAAATTGTACAGATTTTAATTCATAGAAAGAAAAAAAAACATTCACAACATTAAGATTCTAGTTAGTTTATAAATAAGAAGCAAAAGCAAGCAGAAAAAGAATAATAAATAATAATAAATTTCGTGACAAGCGTACGTAAAATTGTTACTAATTGAAAAATTGAATCTAAAAAAATGTTATTGTTTGGGGGTGATGGTGGAGGGGATGGAGAAAGCAAAGCAAAGCAAAGCAAAGCAAAATGGTCATAACAGCAAATTACATCTTTGAAATGTGATTTTTTATTTTTATCGTTAATATTTCTTTGCCATATGATCTTTAGATGAAAGATCTTATCGTTTTTTTCTTCAACTTTCTTTCTTGGCAATGAAAAAAAATTGAAAATATTTTATCGCGATGATTTTTACTAATCCAAATCTATTCAAGTATTAATGATTAACATTATAATGAGAGGAACAGCAAACAACGAAAAAAAAATGGCGAATCTTCTACCAAAAATCGAAACATATAATGAAAACCGAGAATTTTCTTTAATCATAATAATGGATAAAAACTTGGTTTGTTGTATATATGGTGTTTGTAAGATACAAATTATTTCTATACATAAAGTGTGTATATAATTTGGTCTAAAAACAAAACAAAACAAAACAGAAAAAAATGACCATGAAACGATCATTTCCATCATAATAATAATGATAATTTTTTTCCTGTCTGTCTGTCTCTGTTTTTTTTTTTTTTTTTTGTTTATTCACCCACATACAATCTGTGTATCTAATAGATATTGGATAATAGGTATTAGGTCCATATAGTTATCATTATCATCATCATGATTATCACTTTTTTTTGGTTGTTGTTGTTGTTGTTGTTGTTGTTGTTGGCCATGGTGGTCATAATAATAATAATAATGTTGAAGAGAAAAAAAATCTATAAAATCCATAATAAAAAAATCCACATTTATTTTACAGAGAATTTACCTTGAAATTGCTTTTTTTTTACTTTATTTCAGGAAATAGATTATGTTATCGTTGGTTTTTTTTTTCATTTCAAAAGAAAACAACAACGATGACCATTATCTTTATAATAAATATAAATTAAAAAAAAAATTACTTTTTATAAAACGCGTCATTTACAAAAAGATATCATTTTTAAATAACATATACACCGCACACACACACACAGAAACATTAACACTTTGGTTTCAGCTATACTTAAAGTTTATGGTCACAAATAACGATAATGGTAATATGTAAAATGTAATGAAGATAACGATAAAGACAACAACAACAATAATTGGAAAAGAGATTCACTAAACAAAAAAAAAGTGAACACAAACCAAGAATATTCCTTTCTTTTTCCTAATCATTTTGCAAATGTAAAAAAAAACGTGACTATTTCCACTCACATATTCCAAAAAAATAATGATAAAGCCAATTTTTCTCAATTTTCAATCGATTGAATCATCATCATCATCATCATCATCATATCAGTAGAGAAAATTGAAAACAACAACGAAAAAAAAGGATTTGAAACATCCATAGTAATATTTTCCTATTTTCCTATAATAATCATTATGGAAAAAAATATCATTTTCCCTTGACTATTACTTCGATCAATAATCATGAACAACAACAAACGAACGAACGAACGAACAGAAAAAAAGTTTTATGAAAATTTTTTCTTCTTTTTTTCTATATCCATTTGGTTTTTTTCTTCTTCTGTTTCAATCAACCGAAAATCAATAAGGGAACAATAAGTAAAGCTAAAACAAAATAAGGATAATCATTATTGAACAAAACAAAAACAAAAAAAAACAAGAATCAATTGAAAGAATCAGCCTACTACAACTTAAACAACAACAACAACAACAAAAACCCGAATACATTGAAGAAAAAAAGAAAGTAAAAGAATCGTCCAGAATAATTTATATGAACAAATAAATAATGAACAAGTGAAACAAAACAANAAAAAAAAATAAACATTCACAACATTAAGATTCTAGTTAGTTTATAAATAAGAAGCAAAAGCAAGCAGAAAAAGAATAATAAATAATAATAAATTTCGTGACAAGCGTACGTAAAATTGTTACTAATTGAAAAATTGAATCCAAAAATGTTATTGTTTGGGGATGATGGTGGGGGAGAAAGCAAAGCAAAGCAAAATGGTCATAACAACAAATTACATTTTTGAAATGTGATTTTTTATTTTTCTCGTTAATATTTCTTTGCCATATGATCTTTAGACGAAAGATCTTATCGTTTTTTTCAACTTTCTTTCTTGGCATATGCTGAATATCAATGGGGAAAAAAATTGATAATATTTTATAGCGATGATTTCATTAATCCAAACATTATAACAACAAAAAAATGGTGAATCTTCGACCAAAAAATCGAAACATATAATGAAAACAAAAACAAAAACCGAGAATTTTCTTTAATCATAATAATGGATAACTTTGGTTTGTTGTATATGGTGTTTGTAAGATACAAGTTATTTCTATACATAAAGTGTGTATATAATTTGGTCTATAAACATACAAAACAAAACAAAGAAAAAAATGACCATGAAACGATCATTTCCATCATAATAATAATAATAATTTCTTTCCTGTCTGTCTGTCTGTTTGTCTGTTTTTTTGTTTTGTTTATTCACCCACATACAATCTGTGTATCCAATAGATATTGGATAATAGGTATTAGGTCCATATAGTTATCATTATCATCATCATGATTATCACTTTTTGTTGTTCTTGTTGTTATTGTTGGTCATGGTGGTCATAATAATAATAATGTTGAAGAGAAAAAAATCCATAAAATCCATAATAAAAAAATCCACATTTATTTTACAGAGAATTTACCTTGAAATTGCTTTTTTTTTCTCTTTATTTCAGGAAATAGATTATGTTATCGTTATAGATAATGAATATAACAATAAAGACAACAACAACAAAAACAATAATTGGAAAAGAGATTCACTAAACAAAAAAAGTGAACCAAACCAAGAATATTCCTTTCTTTTTCCTATTCATTTTGCTCATTTAGAAATTATTCAAAAAACAGCAGAAGAGACAAATGTAAAAAAACGTGACTATTTCCACTCACATAGATATTCCCAAAAAAAAGATAATGATAAAGCCAATTTTTCTCAATTCTCAATCGATTGAATCATTATCATCATCATCATATTAGTAGAGAAAATTGAAAACAACAACGAAAAAAAAGGATTTGAAACATCCACAAAAAAATGGTAATATTTTCCTATTTTCGATAATAATCATTATGGAAAAAAATATCATTTTCCCTTGACTATTTTTTCGATCAATAATCATGAACAACAACAAACAAACGAACAAAAAAAGTTTTATGAAAATTTTTTCTTCTTCTTCTTCTTCTATATCCATTTGGTTTTTTTTTCTCTCGTTTCAATCAACCGAAAATCAATAAGGGACCAACATAAGGAAAGCTAAAACAAAATAAGGATAATCATTATTGAACAAAAAAAAAACAAAACAAGAATCAATTGAAAGAATCAGCCTACTACAACTTAAACAACAACAACAACAACAAAAACCCGAATACATTGAAGAAAAAAAGAAAGTAAAAGAATCGTCCAGAATAATTTATATGAACAAATAAATAATGAACAAGTGAAACAAAACAAAACGAAAAAAATTCAATTTAACTTAAAGATAACGATAAAGGTACATCCATCACACATTCTCTCCACCCTTAAACTATCTCAATGATGATGATGATGATGATGATTACAAAAATTAACCGAAGAAATATTGGATATAAATCGATCGATCGATCGATCGAACGTTCGATCGATGTAGATTGGCTTTTTTATTTCACCCATTTTCACTATAAAATTTATTACCGTTTCTTGATGGATATTCAATCACCTTAATTTTTTCCTTTTCTCATATTATATTCACAATCATGACTTGTATTTTTTTCCTGTTCAGCAAAGTTTTGTTACCATGTTTTTTCTTTCGGATAATTCTGTCTGACTGTTTTTTTTTGTTTCCTTGTTATCTTTCTGGAAACTTTCTGTGAATAGATAAATGTAAAACAAAAACAAAAAAAGGATAAAAACATTGCAATAAATAAATAAAATGAATAGGAAAAAAGATAGTTTTGTTTTTTAATTCGACGGCTATATACACACTAATGAAGGTTTTTTTTGATACTTAAATTCCATGATGCAAAGATTTTTCTTTTTCTTTTTCTTTTTGTTTGTTGTGCAAAAGAAAAAATGATCCAAGAAAAAAAAATCTAATCAAATTCAAATATTATGGCCGAAAAACATAAACATAAACTTAGATAACTTATTAATCATGATTTATAGATGATGATTACTATTATTATTATTTGATTCGACGAAATAAAATATCGTCAATACAAACCAACCAGAAAAAATGGCCAAATTTTCATTACATTTCAATGATGATGATGATGATAATGTTTTCTCATGATGATGAATATATATTATCTGACCAAAACAAACAAAAAAAAAATAATCATCAAGAATATGAATATATTCAACAACAAAAAAAAATGATCAAATAAAACTTGTTTTTGTTCAAGTATACAAATATTCATTGAATATCATTC